AAATAATTTTTTAAATAATGGCAGAAAACTTCCCAAATTTATTGAAAAATAACCTACACATCCAGGAAACTCAATAAACCCCAATATGATAAACATGAAGAGATCCACAAACAAATATGTCATGGTAAAAAAAAAGGCCAGAAGTCAAAGACAAGGAGAAAATCTTGAAAGCATTGGGAGAAAAAAGGACTGGTCACATACAAAGGACCCCCAATAAGATTAGCAGCTAGCTTCCCAGCAGAGGCAATGAAACCCAGAAGCAGTGGAATAACAAAATTCAAATTGTTCAAAGCAAAAAAAAAAAAAAATCAACCAAGAATCCCATATTCAGCAAATCTCTTTCAAAAATGAAGGTGAAATAAGGATTTTCCCAGATGACCAAAAACTAGGACAATTTGTTGCTACCAAACCCACCTTATAAGACTACTAAAGGTTGTTCTTCAGGCTACAAACAAATGATCCTAGATGATTATTTGAATCCACACAAAGAAAACAAAGGTAGTTATGTACCAATAAAGGTAATTATGTAATTATTTTAAAGTATAAATGCATATTTCTCTCCTTCCTTCTTATAATTAAAAAGCAAATGTATAAATAATATATATATATAATGTAATGTTGGACCTATAACATAGAAAAATGTAATATTGGTCAATAACAACACAAAGGAGGTGGGTGGGAACAAAGCTATACTGGGCTAAGGAAATGACTGCAGTTAGTAGAGTAATATAATGCACAGCTGGGTTTGTAACATTAATAGATGTGATGTGTATAACAATAATACACAAAAGTGGGGAAAACTGAATAGAGCTATAGAGAAATAATGTTTCCATACATCACTGGAATTAAGCTAGTAAAAATCTAAAGCTGATTCTGGTAAACTAAAATGGATATGGTAAACCCTAGAGCAACCACTTTAAAAAACTGAAAAAAATATTAAAGAAACTAAAGTGCTACATTAGAAAAATATCCACTTGATGCAAAAGAAAGCAGTAAAGGAGGACTAGATAAACAAAAGACACAAGCCATATAGAAAACAGAAAATAAAATGACAGATATAAATTCAACTACATAAATAACAGCATTAAATATGAATGGATTAAACAATCAGATAAAAAGGCAGAAATTGTCAGACTGGGTTAAAAAACAACATGGATCGGGGCACCTGGGTGGCTCAGTCATTAATCATCTGCCTTTGGCCCAGGTCATGATCTCAGGGTCCTGGGATCGAGCCTTGCACTGGGCTCCCTGCTCCACGGGAAGCCTGCTTCTCCCTCTCTCACTCCCTCCGCTTGTGGTCTCTCTCTCGCTGTGTCTCTCTCTGTCAAATAAATAAAATCTTAAAAAAAAAAAAACAAACATGGATCAACTATATGCTGTCTGCAGGAGACACAATTTAGATTCAAAAAAACAAATGGTTGACTATAAAAGGACAGAAGTAGATACATCGTGCAAACAGCAACTAAAAGAAAGCTGGAGTGGCTTCACTTATATCAGATAAAATAGACTTTTAAAAAAATATTACTAGAGAGGCACGTGGGTGGCTCAGTCGGTTAAGTGTCCAACTCTTGATTCTGGCTCAGTTCATGATCTCAGGGTTGTGAGATCGAGCCCTGCATCAGACTCACGCTGAATGTGGAGCCTGCTTAAGATTCTTTCTCTCCCTCTCTTCCTCCTCCTCCCCCTCCCTTTCTTAAAAAAAAATGTTCCTAGAGATAAAGAGGGACATTTCATAATGATAAAAGGGTCACTCCATCAGGGAGGTATAATAATTATAAAAGAGCACCAAGATACGTGAAGTAAAAACTGGCAGAAATGAAGGGAGAAACAGAAAACTCAACAACAGTTGAAAATTTCAATGTCCTACTTCCAGGATTGGCTAGAACAATTAAACAAAAGATTAACAAGGAAAACAGAAGACTTAAACAACACTATAAATCAACTCAACCTGAAAGACATCTCTAGTCAACAACAATAAAATATATATTCTTCTCAAGTGCACACTGAACATTCTCCAGGATAAACCATATATGCCAGGCATAAAACAAACTTCAATAAATTTAAAAGGATAGAATAACACCCAGTATTTTCTCTGACCACAATGGAATGAAATTAGAAACCAACAGCAGGAGAAAATTTAAGAAGCTCACAAATACGTGAAAATTAAACAAACTCCTAAATATGACCCATAACCAATGAGTCAAATAAGAAATCAAAAGAGAAATCAGAAAACACTTTCAGATGCATGAAAATAAAGACACAACATACCAAAACTTATGGGGTGCACCTGAGTCAGTGATTAGAGGGAATTTTGTAGTTGTAAATGCATATTTTAAGACAGAAAAAGGATCTCAATAGCTTAACTTCCACTTTAAGACACTGGAAAATGAAGGACAAACCAAACCTAGAGCGCGCAGAAGGAAGGAACTTAGTGAAATAGAAAATAGAAAAATAATAGAGATTATAAAGGAAACCAGAAGTTTGTTTTCCGAAAAGTTCAACGAAACTGACAAATCTTTAGCTAGATTAACCAAGAAACAAAAAGAAAACTAAAATTACTAAAATCAGAAATGAACAAAGGGACATTATTACTGACCTTACAGAAATAAAAAGGAGTCCTATGAACAACTGTACACCAACATATTAGATAACATTGATGAAATGGACAAATTCCCAAAGATGCAAACTTCTAAAACGGGCTCAAAAAGAAATAGACTAGCCAAGTAGACATAAGAAGTGAAGAGATTAAATTAGTAATCAAAAACCTACCCACAAAGAAAAGCCCAAGTCCAAATATTTTCACTAATGAGTTAATACCAGTTCTTCACCAACTCTTCCAAAAAACAGAAGAGGAGGGAAATACTCCCAACTTTTTTAAGGCCAGTATTACCTTAATAGCAAAACCAGACAAAGATATCCGAAGAAAATTACGGACAAATATTACTTATGAACTTGGGAGACAAAAATCCTCAACAAAATACTAGTAAGCTGGATCCAGCAACATATAAAAAGGATTATATGCCATATCCAAGTGAGAATTATCCCAGAAATGCAAAGTTGGCTCAACATCTGAAAATCAATTAATATAATACATCATATCAATAGAATTTTTAAAATTACATGATTACCCAATAGATGCAGAAAAAGTATTTGACATAGATCAATGGAACAGGATAGAGAGCCCAGAAATGGACCCTCAACTCTATGGTCAACTAATCTTTGACAAAGCAGGAAAGAATGTCTAATGGAAAAAAGACAGTCTCTTCAACAAATGGGGTTGGGAAAATTGGACAGCCACATGCAGAAGAATGAAACTGGACCATTTTCTTACACCACACACAAAAATAGACTCAAAATGGATGAAAGACCTAAATGTAGGACAGGAATCCCTCAAATTCCTTGAGGAGAACACAGGCAGCAACCTCTTCAACCTCAGCTGCAGCAACTTCTTCCTAGAAACATCACCAAAGGCAAGGGAAGCAAGGGCAAAAATGAACTATTGGGACTTCATCAAGATAAAAAGCTTTTGCACAGCAAAGGAAACAGTCAACAAAACCAAAAGACAACCAACAGAATGGGAGAAGATATTTGCAAATGACATATCAGATAAAGGTCTAGTATCCGAAATTTGTAAAGAACTTATCAAACTCAACACCCAAAGAACAAATAATCCAGTCAAGAAATGGGCAGAAGACATGAACAGACATTTCTGCAAAGAAGACATCCAAATGTCCAACAGACACATGAAAAAGTGCTCAATATCATTTTGCATCAGGGAAATCCAAATCAAAACCTCAATGAGATACCACCTCACACCAGTCAGAATGGCTAAAATTAATAAGTCAGGAAATGACAGATGTTGGCGAGGATGCGAAGAAAGGGGAACCTCCCTATACTGTTGGGAATGCAAGCTGGTGCAGCCACTCTGGAAAACAGTATGGAGGTTCCTCAAAAAGTTGAAAATAGAGCTACCCTATGACCCAGCAATTGCACTACTGGGTATTTACCTCAAAGATACAAATGTAGTGATCCGAAGGGGCACGTGCACCCCAATGTTTATAGCAGCAATGTCCACAATAGCCAAACTATGGAAAGAACCTAGATGTCCAACAGATGAATAAAGATGTGGTATATATATACAATGGAATATTATGCAGTCATCGAAAAAATGAAATCTTGCCATTTGCAACAACACGGATGGAACTAGAGGGTATTATGCTAAGGGAAATAAGTAAATCAGAGAAAGATAATTATCATATGATCTCACTGATACGTGGAATTTGAGAAACAAGGCAGAGGATCAAGGGGAAGGGAGGGAAAAATGAAACAAGATGAAACCAGAGAGGGAGGCAAACCATAAGAGACTCTTAATCTCAGGAAACAAACTGAGGGTTGCTGGAGCGATGGGGGGTGGGAGGGATGGGGTAGCTGGGTGATGGATATTGGGGAGGGTATGTGCTATGGTGAGCGCTGTGAATTGTGTAAGACTGATGAATCACAGACCTGTACCCCTGAAACAAACAATACATTATATGTTAATTTAAAAAGCATTTGAAAAATCCAACACCCTCTCATGATAAAAGCACTCAACAAACTACGAATAGAAGGGAACTTCCTCAACTTGATAAAAAGCCTTTATGAGAAACCCACAGCAAGGTTCCAGGATCCAAGATCAATATATAAAACTCTGTTGTACTTTTGCAACGAACAATCCAAAAATGAAGTTACAAAAGTCATTCACAATGGCATCAAAAAGAATAACACAGGGAGAAACTTAATAAAAGTAGTGTAAAACTTACACTCTGAATATTACAAATCATTGCTGAAAAAAATAAAGATCTAAATAGATGGGGAAACATCTCATGTTCAAGGATCAGAAGACTTAATTAACATTGTTAAGATGGCAATACTCCCCAAACTGATCTACAGATTCAACACAACCCTATCAGAATTCCAGATGACCTCTTTGTAGAAACTGACAAGTGGATTTTAATATTCACACAGGATTGCAAGGGACCCCGAATAGCTAAAACAGTCCTGAAAAAGAAAAATATAGGATCCTTACTTCCCAATTTTAAAACTTACTGCAAAGCAATAGTAATCAAGACTGTGGTCTTACACAAGGATAAACACATAGATCAATGGAATATAACTAAGCATCCAGAAATAAATCCATGCAACTATAATCAACTGATTTTTTTTACAGCGAGGCCAAGACTATTTAATGGGAAAAGAACTGTCTTTTCAACAAATTGTGCTGGGACAACTGGATAGCCACATGCAAAATAATGCAGTTGGACCCTTACCTCACACCATATATAAAAATTAACTCAAAATAGGTCAAAGACCTAACTGTAAGAGCTAAAACTATAAAACTTTTCAAACAAAATGAAGGGGTAAATATGACCCTGGATTTGGCTAAAGATTCTTAGATAAGACACCCAAAGCATGAGCAGTGAAAGAGAAAAATCGGACTTCATCAAAATGTAAACCTTTTGGGATTCAAAGGACACCATCGCTAAAGTGAGACTCCCCACAGAAAGGGAGAAATTATTTACAAATCATGTATCTGATAAGGGACTTGTATCCAAAATATAAAGAATTCTTACACTCAAATTCAAAAAGACAAACCTGGGTGGCTCAGTTGGTTAAGCGACCGCCTTCAGCTCAGGACATGATCCTGGAGTCCCGGGATCGAGTCCCACATCGGGCTTCCTGCTCAGCGAGGAGCCTGCTTCTCCCTCTAACCCTCCCCCTTCTCATGTACTCTCTCTCTCTCTTTCTCACTCTCTCAAAATAAATAAATAAATCTTTAAAAAAAAAAGACAAACCAGTTTTAAAATGAGTGAATGATCCGAATAAATATTTCTATAATGAAGATATACGCATGGCCAATACGTACATGAAAAGATGCTTCTGACATCATTAGTCATTAGGGAGATACAAATCACAACCACAGTGAAATACCACTTCACATCCACTAGGAGAGCTAGACTTAAAAAGTGAGATAAGTGTTGGTGAGCATGTAGAGAAATTAAAAATCTCATACAATGCTGGTGGGAATAAAATGGTGCAGCCGCTTTGGAAAATAATCTGTCAGTTCCTCAGAGTTACCATATGACCCAGCAATTCCACTCCTAAGTATGCGCACACAAAAAAATAAAAACATGCCCACAGAAAAATATGTATGCGAATGTTTATAGCAGCATTGTTTATAATAGCTGAAAGACAGAAACAACCCAAATGTCCATCAACAAACAAACAGATAAACAAAAGGTGGTATATATCCAGATGACAGAATACTATTTGGCCCAAAAACAAATGAAGTTCTGATACATGCTACTACTCAGATAAACCTTGAAAACATTATGCTAAGTGAAAGAAGTCAGTCACAAAAGTCTGCATATTATATGCTTCCATTCACACAAAAGTCCTGAATAGGAAAATCTACAGGGATAGAAAGCAGTTATTGGCTGCTTAAAGGGTAAGAGGTGGGAGGGATGGGAAGGTAAGGGGGTTTACAGATAAAGGGCATGGAATTAGGTGGGGTATTTTTTGAGGTGATGAGTATCTTCTAAAATTGACTGTGATGATGGTTGCAGATATATGTGAATACACTAAAAATCACTGAATTATATACTTCAAATGGGTGAATTATGTATTATGTGAATTATACCTAAATAAAGCTGTTTTTAAAAAAATAAAATGCCAGCCTATTTTTATCTCTATCCCCACTTGCAGCTGGAAAGAAGAGGTCCCTAAACCCTTAAAGTCAAAGAAATGCACTGAAATGTATTTTGTATGATCCAAGTACTGTGCAGATATAATGTTTAAAACCCATGCAAAAAGCTGAGGTATGAAAATCCTTACAGTTAGGGTCCCATCTGCTCACATTCCAGAAAAGAAGTCTTAGTCACCAGCAAATCTGCCAGGTTTGGGAAAATGCAGGTATTACCCTTCATGCAACACAATGTTTCCTAAACCATGTGGATGAGCTGACCTAAAACCAGGAAAGTTTCCAAATGGTCAGCCCATCCACCTACACCATGACCTCCCTCCAGATGCCCCTCCAACTCCCATTTACCAGTTTATTTTGACAAAAACAAAACCAAAAACCAGTCTGACCCCCTCTCACTTAGAGGGAACCTCTAACAAGTGGTTGGATCTCTCTAACTTTTTAGCTCCATACTGCCAGGGGGCTTAAAAACAAACAATAAAATTAGCAAATACATCAAATAAAATCAGAAGAAAGTGTTAAAATTCAAAATTTCAGTATAATCAACCCCAGTGGAAAGCGGGAGGTTTAAGTGTTAGGATTAATACTGGTGAAGGCTGACTTGGAGACCACAGGGCCCGGGGGCCAGCTCTGGCAATAAAAAAGGAGATGTTTTGACCTCCGTGAACTTCTGGTAAATCTGGTTCCCTTGGTTCCCCAATCCATCAAGTTTTATGGAGCCCACACCTCTGCAGCTGGAACCCAGAGTCCCCTTTTTTTATTGTTCATTTCATCAAATGATGCTGATGCAAAATTCAGTTCTTTTTTTCTCAAACTGTTTAAACTCATTCTGAATTGTGAACCCTAAAATTTACACTTGACCCATGAACAACCACAGGGTTAGGGGCACCAAGTATAATTTTTGACTCCCCAAAAACTTAAAAGCCTGTTTACCAGAACCCTCACCGATAACATAAGCAGTCGATATACACATATCTTGTATGTTCTATTTATTCTGTACTGTATTCTGACAACAAAGTCAGCTAGGGAAAAGAAAATGTTAAGAAAACCATAGAAAGAGAAAAATACATTTGCAGTACTACACTGCAAAAAAATCCCCATACAGAGACAATGGACTCTGAAAAACTGAGGGTTCTAGAGGGGAGGGGTGTGGGGGGATGGGTTAGCGTGGTGATGGGTATTAAAGAGGGCACGTTCTGCATGGAGCACTGGGTGTTATGCACAAACAATGAATTGTGGAACACTACATCAAAAACTCATGATGGAATGTATGGTGATTAACATAACAATAAAAAATTTAAAGAAAAAAAATCCCCATATAGACAGTGTGCCCCGAGGTCCCTCTCTCACTGCAACAGTTTGGAGGAACAGACCCAGGGAGCCCCTTCTTCCAGCCTCCGACCACCCTCCAACCTCCTCTGTAGCAGCGACCACCCCCTGCCTCAGGGACCAGCCAACACCAGCTTTCCAGCTTAGCCCCCACCGCCCACCAACTATGAGCTCCCAGATTTGCCAGAATGATTCCACCCACATGGAGGCCGTGGCCGGCCGCCTGGTCAGCCTGCACCTTCGGGCCTCCAACCCTCCCTCTCTCTGGACTTCTAATTCCACTGCGATGCTGTTTCTGGACCGCGAGGGCACTTCCCCCCGGGGCTGGGCCGGGGACCAGCACCAAGGTCCTGGGATCCTTGGGTGCAAAACCAAGACCCTGGCCGCGCCCTCCTCCAGAACAAACAGAAGCCTCCCAGGACTGACCAGGCAAACCCCTGAACTCCGTGGAAGCCGCCCTGCCCCAGAGAAGAACCTGAAGCAGGCCCTTCTGGATCTGCAAGCCCCGGGCGGTGCCCACGCAGATGCTGGAACCTGCTGGAGAACAGCATCCTAGAGAAGCAGGTGAAGCTCAGTTAGGAAGATGGGGCGCACCTGCCTGAGCTCGGCGGGCTGCGCTGCGCAGCCTCGCTTCCAGGGGCTCAACCTCCAGCAGACGGGCAACCCCCAGGGGCCCGGGCCTTCGAGGGGGTCCCTCTGCACCCCCTGCTGTTGGGGCTTCTGCCTGAGCTTCTCCCTGCAGCCGCTAGACAGCTTTTTAAACCTCGACCAAACCAGAAAGCAAGTGGAAACAGTATAGCTCTTTGCAGGAAAAAAAAAAAATCTGCATATAAGTGGATCCAGACAGTTCAAACCTATGTTATTCAAGGGTCAACTGTATTTTTTTTTACTTCAATTAACTCCTCAGTTATAAGCCAAATTAAAACATAGTCAATTCCATTTTTAAAAGATCAATCCAAATTGCAAAAGAGATGCCGTGTGTGTGCGTGTGTGTGTGTATATATATATATATATATATACACATATATGCATACACAGGCGAGCCCACACACATAAAAGACACTGTAATTGTGTGGGAGTAGGGTAGGAGTAAAGAAGGATTTTCAAATTTTACCTTGTATTAATTGAACCCTATAAAATTGCCATTTTTCTAAGTCAAAACAGATATCAGCAATTTCATACCATTTTAATTTTTTGCAACATGAATGTTTATGTAATATAAACTATGGACTTTGTGTGACAATGATGTATCAGTGTAGCTTCATTGGTTGTTAACGAATGTGGCATTCTGGTGGGGGCACTGATGTGGGAGACTGTGCGTGGCGGGGCAGGAGTTCATGAGCAATCTCTGTATCTTCCTCTTAATTTTGCTGTGAATTTAAAAATTATTTTTTTAGGGGTGCCTGGGTGGCTCAGTTGGTTGGGTGTCTGACAGCTCGGGACATGATCCCAGAGTCCTGGGATCAGGCCCCGCGTCGGGCTCCCTGCTCGGCAGGGAGCCTGCTTCTCCCTCTCCCTCTGCTGCTGTTCCCCCTGCTTGTGCTCTCTCTCCATCAAACAAATAAACAAAATCTTTAAAAAAAAAATTTTTTTTAAACCTAGACACATTGATTTGCTCACTACCCATGACACTGGATGGAAAGAATGGAATAAAGGTTAAATCAGCTAGGCACCAAGCCATGTGAGCCCATACAGTGATCGCCATCTGCCCACACTGTTCACTAGTCTACCTCTGTTCCTAATGTAAGAATGACGGTGGGCAGAAATGGTCTCCACATAGATCACGATCACACATGACATAAAACAAGGCTGTCGGGCCCCTTGCTCTTTAAGTGATGCCACATGATCTGATGCCACTTTTAGATTAGACAAATACAGTCTCCTTTCATAGGAAGATAAGCATCACACTTGACGCTCATGGTAGGGTTTGTGGAGTAGGAGACCTCAAGAACCTCTTGGTCCTGGCAACCAACTGCCCAGGAAGAAATGCAATCTTGACATCAGCTGCTTCCCTGCCTACTCAGCCCTGTACCTCAACACACCCCTGTGTATCACAGGCCCCAGCTTGAGTCAAGTTTTCCCTGCAATTTAGGCAAGTTGGAACATTGTAGACCAGGTGGTCCCAAATACTTCAGAGTCCCCTAAGGATCTTTCCAAGAAGAGAGCTACCTGGAAGCCATTCCAGATCTGTCTCCTCCAACTCTGCAGAATGGGAGCCCAGGAATCTGTAATTTTCAATAAGCCCCCAAGGGGACTCTCTGCCACCATTTGGGTCTGCAGGACAGGGCAACGGGTCCACCAAAGTCTCTTCTAGGAGAATCAGTATAGGGAGTTTCCCAAAGAAATAGTTCCAGGTATCTACACTAAAGAGGAAGAAGGTAAGAGTCATAGTGAATATACTTAAGGTTAAACACAAAGATGTTTAGGTTTGGAAATGTATTGTTTTGAGTAAGACCTGAAGATAAATAAACATTTTAGATTTCTTGGTAGATTCCAGTCCTAAGAATACTTCGTTTTAATACTCCTCTGAACAAGATAAGGTCAATGAGAAAATTAGAAGCAATCCTCATTTCTAATAAGTGAGCCTTAGGGGTAAATTGACTGCTGAGTGTTAGCGACCCCCTTGCTGTGGTGATCTTGAGGGAAGTGATCCAATCAATGGGTGTCTGACGACAGAGACAGAGAAAAGCTACAAAGACGGAGCCCTGGCCCTGAGTCAGGGTGCAGAGGCTAGCATTCTAGAGCCTTCCTGACAAATAACACCCGGAAGGTCTAGTTCCCTGAACAGAGTCTTGGTGGTGTCCCATCATCCAGGGGGAGGCATATATAATATATCCCCCAGCCAGTCCCAGTCATCTCAGAAATCCACCCCTCCCCCCAACCTGGGACTGTCCTACTCAGACACCAAGGGCTGGGAGAGATGGGGAAGATCCTGTCTCTGCCTGCAGAGCCCAGTCCCCATGAACAGCGGAAGCAAATAAAAACACTTCAGCGGCCACCAGTTTGGAGTGTAAGCTGTGGTCACTCACCTTGGGGGGAGTCAAGCCACATTTCCTTTACATTCACTTAAGCAAATGGCTGCTGAGGGCTGGAGGGGATCACTGTAACCCACCGCCCCCACCCCAGGGCACCAGTCTGAGTGCCTAAGGTTTGCTGGACAGGGTCTGTGTCTCAGCAGGTATGGAACGGAGAAAGCATCCCTGAGTGTTTCAAGTCTTGTCAGAGGTCTTTTAGGAGGTGGCCCTCGGGCTCAGATGGAACCTGGCCAAGGACTCTCCCTCGAGCCCTCCACATCAGTGCTCCCCAGAGCGTGGGTGCACCCGCTGGTAATCAGAGGTGATTATAGTGGAGAGTCATGTTTCTGTTCAATAGTCAGGCATTTATTTCAACGCATTTAAGAAGAGCAATTAGCACATTGCATCTAGATTTTGTGGACTTCGTTGCTTAGGACAAGTTTAAAGAAATAAGAAATGTAATTTCAAGAAGTAACTCGGGTTTAGGAAAAATATTAAATAATAGTACATGTGGTTTGAGGGTGAGACACAGGTCTGGGTTAAGCATATGAGTAACAGCCAAACACCAGGCCATCCCAGAAGAGACGGAGATGCCTTCTAGAAAGGAAAATGTCCTAAAGGAACAAAATGCCAGGGTCGCCTGAGCCGGGGCGGGGGGGGGAAGGGGGGCAGGGGAAACCACCCCTCATATTTCCTTCCGCCCACAACCTCATGCCTACCGCCAAACTAAAGAGCTGCAAAAAAGAACAAGTAAAAACCACAACAGCTTTGTCAATAATCCTAACATGCTACTTTTGTAACAAATATATCTTAGCTAAAAAAAGGGGGGGCTATTTCACAAAACCTTCCATGGGGCATGGCAAGCATGAACTGTCGTAGCAACAGGAGACAGTGGTCCCTTGACACAGAGGACGTGAGAGGTCTGCAGGCACGAGGGCCCTCCCCCAAGGGCAGCAGCGTGACCACAGCTCTGACACTAGCAGCAATGGGGGACAATGCCACGGTGAGCCAGAGGCGGGGGACGGCTCAAGGGGTGGCCAAGAAAGCTGGTGCAGAGAGAGAAGCTAAGAGGCCATCTGGGAGTGTTTCAAAAGAAGCGGTATTCCCGTATTCTTGCATGTTTGTTCCCTCCTTCTCTTCAACTGATGTGTGCTTTATTAATGGTCATATGTACTAGAGCACAATACAAATATAATTTACAAATACACAGACATCACTCAAAATTGTACCCTCAAAGTTGTTTACAGATGGGAGGCAGGATCAAGAAAGTTGGGCAACTCCATGGGGCGCCTGGGTGGCTCAGTCGTTAAGCGTCTGCCTTCGGCTCAGGTCATGATCCCAGGGTCCTGGGATCGAACCCCGCATCAGGCTCCCTGCTCGGCAGGAAACCTGCTTCTCCCTCTCCCACTCCCCCTGCTTGTGTTCCCTCTCTCGCTGTGTCTGTCTCTGTCAAATAAATAAACAAAATCTTTAAAAAAAAGTTTCCTTATAAAAAAAAAAAGAAAGAAAAAAGAAAAGAAAGCTGGGCAACTCCAGGTCTACGTTAGTCACTAACTATACCTGCCCGGATGGCTGTCAACACTCACTCTGTGTAAACTGTACTGCCCCCGCTGGATGCTGAGGGAGGAGGGTTTGAGGAGAACCTGTGCCACGGAGTTCATCCCACCCCATGCTGCATCAGGAGCTGGAGGGCCCAGGCTTCTCAGGAGGAGAAGTTTACAGGGAGGCTTTGTAAAGTCTATTCAGAGTCCCGGAAGGAGCTCAGGGCTTGCCTTCAGAGGGACGTGCAATGGAGCCCCAGCCCTAGCTCACACCAGCGAGCCATTCTGAACTTCAAGCTCATCTTCTGTCAAATGAAGAGCTAATGAATGATATATACCTTATGGCATTGTTGCGAGACTCACGCAAGGTAAGACAAAAGGGCTTTGGGGAATCACAGAGCATCTTCCTTCTCCCAGCTAATGTCCCAAGGCATGGGGTGGCCCCAGAGACTCCAAAGCTTGCAAGGAACAGATGCCCCAGAGCCAACCAGGAGTACCTGTGCTGAGCACCACCCCCCCCCCAGACAAAGCCAGGCCTCAGCTCAAGTGGACCAGAAGTCATGCACAGCTCAGGCAAGCTGGGGCACTGGGAGCCAGTGTGGAGCCAGCCACCCACACCAACCATCAGTCACCCCTGCTGTCTCCAGGCTCCTGCAGCTGCTGGGGAAGTTCAGGGGCAAGGAGGCTTTCACTCTTTGACTCTTCTTGTTGGTGTCTGCCAGACCTTTAGGGGGAGAAGGAGACACACACACACACACACCCAGTGGCAGGTACTTGTTCTGAGCACCCCTGGGGTCCTCCTGCCCCACAGCATCCTTTTCACCCAAGCCACAGCACAGGCTGATCCACGCAAATTACAAAAAACACAATAAACCAGGGCTGTTTGTATGATTGAGGTTCAGAGGCTTTGGGGTTTTCTGGATATGGCCTTGATGAATCTAGAAACACCTGAATCTTTGGGTGATTCCCCCCTTTTCTCTCCCTTGTTGCCTTAATCACCCTGATGTGTACTGAACCCCAGACCAGAGGCTCCCAAAGCTTTGTGTACCCTTCAGAGGAAATGTCTCCACTGACCTCCCCGATCCATTTCCATCCCATGTATTTCCTCCAAGTCCCTGCAAAAGAACCTCTCCAGGAGCAGAAATATGCTTTTGCCATAAAGGGGAAACAGGAGAGAGAGAGAGGAGGGGTCTACTGCACATTTCTGTGAGGATGGCAGGAGGCTCATCCTTGCCCGTGTCTGGGGCCAAGAAAGAATCAAGGGAGGTCAAAGCCATTGTTTTCACTGAAGCTGGTGGCATGAGCAGCAGAAAAATTGTCCCTCCCAATTTTGTACAGACTGTGTTATGCCTTTTCCTGTTCTCTGCTGACATCCTGAAAGAGACTCTGAGCTTCTCACACACAGACACACGGATGCTCATCCATCTCCACATGTCGCCATCCAGCTCCATGCCCGGCACAGGTAGATGCTGAAGTAAGCCACAAGTACAAGGGGCATGGCTGATTCAGCTCCATCCTTACAGGGCTAGCACAGTGTCTAACACGGCAGATGCTCAGTACTGCTTATTTGATTAAAGCTGCTGGAATTAGTGGCCCCTCCCCTCTCTTCTCCCTCCCCTCGCTGAGACCTTCAAATTAAACACAGGCTTCAGACAACCTAGAAGATCTTGCAAATCTAGTGCTGGGTCTCAGAGATCCGTTGTACAGGTGACAGTCTGAGATGGAGATTTTATCCAGGTGTGAGCTCTCCCATCAGCCCAGGAAGGGGGTAAAGGTGAGAACTCTCACCACACTGCAGATACAGGATCAGAAAGGCCATCAGCCCCACCCTACCTGTGCATGCCTTTACCATCAGAACACCCCACAGCACAGGAGGGTATCAAAGCCAGCCACATCATTTGTGGTTTCACTTCTATGGTGAATCACGGCCCCGTGCAGGGGCCCAAGGAAGGCCGTCTCGGGTTGAAATATTGGCGAGCTTACAGCGAAAAGAGGCATCAGGGTGAACCAAGGAAAGCACGAAGTCTGCACTCCACCTGCCATGGTTCAGTGTGCCAGGTACCCGGGGGCCAATCATGAGCCTTCTGTGGAGAGAAACAGTTTACCTGCCTCACTGGGATGCGGTGAGGTGTGAAAAGTGCTTGACAAACAGAAAATCCTCCGCACCTGTGAATTATTTCAGGTGTTCACAGCAGTTTGCTGGACAGATACACAGGCACCCCGTGGAAAAATGGCAGGCCACTATTTGCATAGACTCAGTGTGAAAAGTCATCCCCACCCACCTCCCAACCCCCAACCCCAGCCGAGCAGCGCTGCCTCCCTACCTCCAGAAAAGACCCGGACTCTGGTTCCCTGAATCCAGCCTGTACCACTGCTTGAGGCTCCAGGGCACCCAGGAAGGGAGGGAGAAAGCAGAAGCTCTCTGCTGCCCGTGGGAAGCTAGCTGTTAAAGGGCCAGCAGGAAATCTTAAAGGAAGGAGAGAAGATGTGAAAGATGCCTCCCACGCACAGGGGGGTTTCCAGGCAGTTAATAAGCTGAAGCTTCAGGCCTCCCCCTTACATGGACCCTTCCAAGCCTCTCTACCTAGTTTTGTATTCTTGTTCTAAGAAGCCTCCAAAACCTTAGAAGCTTCCGGCCTCGTAAAACCTGGATCTGCCCTGACTCCTCTCTCCCCATCTCTCCCCTCAATCTGATAGCCAACACCCTCTGCCAGCCAGCCTCCTCCCACCGGACATTCACCTGTCCAG